GTAAAGTGTCACACACATATGAAAAAGTGAAGAGACTGAAAATCTATTCAGATGCAACAGGATAAAAAAAGATCAGGAACTCTAAATATCCATGATGCCTACACAACTATACAATAATTATTTCCTGTATATGGACTGTGGATTAAAAAGAATAAGGAAAAAAGGAAAAAAGGAAAAAGAGAAGGAACACAGCTGCCAAGCTCTATTTTGGCCCTTCAGTGAGGGCAGTTTTTTCCTTTAGACAGGAAAAGGTCTGCTTGCATGAGAAAATGGTACTGCCTGATGGGAGCTAGTTTTAGTGGAAAAGTGAGATAACGGAAGAAAAAAAATGTCCGTAGAGGCCTCTCTGCATCCAAGGCATCCGGAACTACAAATGCTTTCAGACCCTGATCTTTTATCAGTGAAACCTTGTGTGATCGTTCTGTCTCCAAGCAGCCTGTTCTTGCTAGTTTGAGTCTGAAAAATGAAACAAGTGGTTACATGGTTGTACTTGACAAAACTTGTACAAAAGCTTGGCAGGTTCGCACAGATTTCAGCAATTCCTAATTAGAAAAATGGAAGAAACTTATTTCCCATGACACAGCAGGCCACAACCATTGAAGTCAGTAGAATTTAATTTCCCTGAATCTGTGAGATGTCCTGGACTTTCAAAGACTATCACCCCGAATCAGTGCTGCCTCATTTTTTCCCTTGGCACCGTGCTTGGGATCAGCTTCTCTAAGCTGCACCCAACAAAAATCATTGAAGCATACATAGAGATAGTATACTTACTAATAGTAAGTATTACTAGTAGTAATACAATACAGACAGAGCTATCTATCTTCATTTTGAGCACTGCTGTCCTCCTGCTGCTTCTTAATGCAAAGAAGGTTGAATTCATTTCTGGCAGCTCTTTACAAAGCTTTCTGCTGCCATGTTCTGTCATCAGCTGTCCTCAGCCAGAAAATGTTATGTATTGTGCAGTAAACCCCAGCAAAAGTTGTTATCTACCGTGTTAAACACAGGCACAAAACCATCAGAGCTCAACGTGTTTTACAAACAAAGCTGAAATAAAATTACAGGCTTAATCTGAAGACGTCTCAGCCTCTAATCAATGAGATCTGAGACTCTGAGATCTCCAAACTCTAGCCTTTGTCTAATCCAGCAGTACTTCTCCTGACCAGTACAAATACCAGCACATCTTAAGAATGTCAGCAAAGATGTCCTACTAAATATTTTCCCCTGTTTTTTGCCTCCTTGATGAACAGCAAAATCTACTTTAATGCACTAGCTTTCATTAACAGGCTTTACAAATACCAGCAGGATTTACAAAAGCAGTACAGTGATCATCAATAAAGCTCATACAGCTATATTTCTGTGTCCATGAAGGAAGCAGCTGTTTGTTGAATTTAGGATAATGAAATCTTCCTTGACATACAGACTGTGAACAACACCATATCGGCATGTCCAATGTGTATCAACAGTTCTTGTTAGGTTTCATAGCTTCAAGGCTTATCAGACCATTTCTCTGCATTTCCCTGAACAATGTTTGAGCCACAGATGTTGGAAAGAAAACAGACGGCAAATACACTGGAGAGTACAACAAATCCCCAGCTTCAAGTGTAGACTTTGTCTGTGTCCACTAAAAGTGTATTCAAACAGTGAACAAAGTAAATAGCAAGCGGAGTTTGTCCAAAAATAACTCTAAATGTTTTCAGTGTAAGAGATGTTAATGATAGATACATCATCCCCTCCTTGGCTTACAGAGTTCTACAAGGAGATTCAAGTCCTTAGCAGTTTTCTCACTGAGAAGTAAAACTTTTTTGTAAGCTGGGTGACCTTCACTGCTAAGCCACAGGAACTGCTCTGCTAATATGGTTGCATATTGGGGGACATGATTTGAAGGTTACAGTCAAGTTCAAGGCCCATAACAATTTATACCTGAGAAGATTTAACTGTGCAGCAGCTGACTTTGCAGTGAATAGGCTCCTTCTGTATTTATTCTTATCCCACATATTTGGGCGAAAAGAATTTACAGGGTCTAACTTACATGTTGGCTTGTCAAAATCTGATTTCATTATCATGCTTATTCCAGCCAAGTTTGACCTGATCTATGGATGATGTCTAATCTTACCAGAACCAGATTTCATGTCTGCTTATTGTTTTGCTTTCTGAGATTGACCTTGTTTGTTAACTGGTTCAATAAGTAATAGCTACACTCCTTGAAAGCCTTCCCAACCACATTATTCGAAGTTCTTTAAGACCTGAATTTGGGGCTTTCAGTAGGGTTTATCTGGTTTTAATATTATAAAGAATTAAGGAATATAACATTTCTGTGACAGGTATTGGGTCTATTTTATGAGCAGAGGAAACAACACAGCATTTTACTGATTACTTAGAGATGGAAATAGAATATAGATCTGATAAAAATCTGTAGTAGTTTTTTACTGTTAAGCACTAAAAGACTATTCCTGAACAAAACAAGATTTAGTCCTAATCACAGCATTCAACCTAACTGCCAAAAGATGATTTGAGGGCAAGGGGATTTTCTAAATATAACAAATTATTTCAGAAAATCATCTGGGGATAAATTCAGGGATGGAAGAAAGCTGGACTTTGTGAAGTTTTATTTACATATGTAATTATAAATATTTTAATGTGTGATTATATTTCCTGTGTAACTTAGATACTTGTGCTTTTAACCTGTAAAGTTTTGTATTACTGCACCCTTTGTAAGCAAACATAACTGTCTCTGGAGCAATGATGTTCTAACCACAGAGCCCAGTTTTGATTTTTAAGTTTAGCTCCTCCTGATCCATTTTAACTTCATTTGGCAGATGCATAACAAATACTCAGTTCCTGCAAACCAGTTTATCCCTTTCTTTTTCAAGGAATACATTTTTCATCCATTGTCTGTACTTTGTAAAATATTTTTAGTCCATCACGATTCTTCTGAAGGTATTGCAAATGATAAAAAAAAGAGCCAGACAATGAGTCCTATTCATTCCTGCTGCGTCTCTGGTAAGAGACTAGAGGTTAAGAATTTTCCATGGTAACTAGAATGGCTTAAAGGTCTTCTGACAATAAGATGATGGATTCCAATTTTAGTCACTCAGGAATAAAACTATTACTTTAAGCAAAGTCGCTCCAAAGGTATCCATTCTTCAGCTTCTTACACCAGGTGAGAAAGCCAGTGTGCTACTGAAGGGCCATAACAGCCCTGACTCCAAAAAGAAACATAGTCTTCTGGCTTGGATGTAAGGTAAAAATACCCATCTCCAGGAACATCTGGCAGACACTTCCCAGTGTTTGCAGCTTTGGTAGGGAGGGGTCCAGAGAAAGGAGAGATTTCTTGGGGGGTGAAGACTTATAGCCATAGGTAAATATATCTATTGGGGGGAAATTTGCATAGTTTATGTTGACTGATGGTTTGATCACCTTCAGATGCTTGAAGTTAGTTCCATGACTAAATTCATGTGAAGCATCATCATACATTTTCTCATACAGCTTATTATTCGCTGGATTGGGCTGTTGTGAGAATGTAGGGTAATTATTCATCGCAAAAATATTTATGGTCCTTCCTGCCATCTGACAGCTATGCAGGGTAGTGATTGATTTTTTTTAAATGTACAAAATTTCTGCACTTTTAGACAACTGCAACTTAAAGAAAAACCATTCAGCTACACTACAGTATGAAGAGTAATCATGGATCAATTGACATGTCAGTCATGACATTATCCAAAACCCCTCTGAGTGTAGATGCCTTTGCGTGAGTTAGTGCAAAAAGGGAAAATAAGTGGGACTGAAAAAATGACTATATATGAAGGGAGGGAAATGTGGACACGACATATCTGCTACAGAATGGCATTCTATTCTTTTTGGCACAGTAAACCTAATTAAATAGTTACATTTTAAAATCTTCATGAGAATCTTATTTATTAATGTCATCAACAGGCTGAAAAAAATGTAGGTTAGGTGTGGAGAGAGTTTGGTTTAGCAAAGACATTACTTAAAAGCAATTTTTTTTGCATGACTGAGCACATGTGCGCACAGACTAGATAGTCACGCTTTACAATGAGGTTACACTTATAAATTATTTATAAAGGGTTGGTAAACACTGTAGGCTATTACAGAATCCACAAAGTCCATAGTTTTGTTATAACTATGTATAACACCCTCAAGTAATGTGCAACCAAGTATAATTTATGAAAGTCATATCCGTAGTATTGTTTATGATGTATATTAATCATTTATTAATCCTTTATGAACTATTTATAAATTCAGTCTTAATGGAAAGCATGGCTGACTGCTTACTCCATTGCACTAGCTGCATGGGAGTTAAAGGTTGCAGGTCTCTGCCCCTCCTTTTTAACAAACTAAGCAGTCTTTAGGCAAGGCAACACTCACTAGCTGTTTCCTTCCAGACTCCTAGGAAGACAGAAATCTGAGCGAGGCATTACGGAGAGGTTGTGCTTGTCAGCAAACATACAGAACCTTTTTTTTTTAATGTCTTCTCCAATACTTCAGTAGAGCTACCACAGGTCGCTTCACAGGGTCCACGCGCCAAAACTCCTTGCAGATGACTCACACAGATTAACGTCTATGAAGCCTTGGTTCCTGAGGACTCTTGTAGAGTTGGTACCTCAGAGCACCAAAATAGGGGCCGTATTTCTAGGAACTGAGCAGAGGAGGGTTGCTGGGTAAAAGCACGTGTCCATGAGTCCTTACGGTTTCTGCAGGAAAATGGGCAATGTAGCAGAAATGACTGCTATAGTCTAGGTTACCATAATGTCTAGGAACAGATCCTGGCTTGCAGGATTATTCTTCTGCTCTGAAGCACTTCTGCCTGCCAAGGTAGAGCTACTTGTTCTTGCTGCAGGCAAGCTCCACTAACTTTCATGTGACAGTGCAGTTTTATTGCTGCTCTTTGCTGCTTTATGCATGCTGTGAAACCTCTTGCTGAGGCATTTGATACCAGAGTACCATCCCCGCGCATTAATTCTTCACTTGTCCTTTTGCAGGAAACAGATCTCATTCTGACCTTTAATATCTCAATGCATCGCTCTTGGTGGATGGAGAATGGGCCGGGCTGCACCGTGACCTCAGTAACCCCAGCCCCAGACTGGGCACCAGAGGATCATCGTTACATCACTGTCTCGGGGTGTTTTCTTGAATATCAGTACATAGAAGTGGCTCACAGTTCTCTTCAGATCTTCCTTGCAGTAAGTGTTTACAGACAGCTCCATTTCCACCACCTTTTTCTAGATTTCTTCTTGCAGAACGTCATTACCAGAATAGCAGAGTATTGTGGCACTTACTCACAAACCCTGGCCCTAAGTGTTTGTTTTGGTATGAAACTCTGTTGTCTTGCAGCTAGTTCAAGACACCTGTACGCAAAAAACTCCAACATACATGTTCATTGCTGTGAGAACTGCTGACATGACACACTCTGTTTTCCAGACCTCCATTTTGACCATTCACCATGCCACAAACCATTTATAGCGCAGGTTACATTCAAATTACACTATAGGATATAAGTTGTGACATAATCAGAACTTACAGCTATTGCTGTGAAAGTCAAATGGAATATAAAAGAAAAACCAAAATGAAGGAGAACTTTTCAACAGTAAAAATAGATTCACTGATCGTTCACAGGACTTAAAACTGATCGATTTGTCTTTAACCATATTAATCAATATGTCCTGGAGGACGATGGGAAAGGTTCTTCCCAAAAGAACAAAATGTTGTACTTGTATGAAATCAAAGCCAGAAATCTTAAAGGAAATCTTTTTAGGAGGATAAGAATCCACTGCTATACTGCAGAAAATTTAGAAAGAATGAAAACAGCTTGTTTGGGAGAAAATTGATAGGTTTTTCAACCATATTTACCTGTACTAATCATTTTGTCTTGTGTTGTCTCTGACCTACTTGAAAATTGACATAAGCACTGAATTAATTACATCGAATGACAATCTGCATTTTTGTATTTGCTCTAGTGATATGTACATGTTTATGCCCAGTTGGAGATATATATGACTGCAGATAAGACTGTTACTACACCTATAAATTTGGACCAGTGCCTGGGTACATGACTCCCTCTATATAAATTTTTTGTTGAAGAGATTCCAATGTTTTGTCTAAAAAGGGACCATATTGACAAAAGAGGGAGGCAATTTGGTTAGCCAGATGCAGAAGTTAATGTAAGGTGGTTGGACAGTCCATAGTATATAATGTGGCCCTCAGCTACCCAAAAAATGAGCAGCTTTTCCATCTGTCTATCCCCCACCCTAGCTGTAAATGGCCAAGTACCAGCTGAGTTTAGGACAATATATCTCTACGTCAACACATCTCGGGGGGGGCTCTGTGTGTAAAAGGCTGGTGGGTGATTCACCTGAAAGCCCAGCTATCTCCCTTCAGTGGAGCCATCCCATGTCTCCTCTGTGCTCCTCAGCTTGCCGTATTGTAGCAGAGCAAAGGGACCCTGACCAAGTGGGTAGCAAGGCAGGCACTAGATAGGTCTGGAAGACAAAAGCAACCTTTTCTCCAGGTAGTTCACACCTGTAATTTTGACAAGCTACAGCTGGTGCAAAAGAGACAAAGAGAAAAGTGCAACAAAATCAGTGTGAATAAGTAAGTGATATTAAAATAGCTTTACAATTTTATTTACAAACAATTGTTATTGCTCCAGCTTACCTCATAGAATCATACAATCATAGAATTGTTTAGGTTGGAAAAGACCTTTAAGATCATCAAGTCCAACCGTTAACCTAGCACTGCCAAATCCACCACTAAACCATGTCCCTGAGCACCACATCTACACGTCTTTTAAATACCTCCAGGGGTGGTGACTCAACCACCTCCCTGAGCAGCCTATTCCAATGTCTGACAACCCTTTCAGTAAAGAAATTTTTCCTAATATCCAACCTAAACCTCCCTTGCCGCAACTTGAGGCCATTTCCTCTCGTCCTATCTCCGGCCACCTGACAGAAGAGACCAGCACCCACCTCACTACAATCCCCCTTCAGGTAGTTGTAGAGAGTGATCAGGTCCCCCCTCAGGCTCCTCTTCTCCAGACTAAACAGCCCCAGCTCCCTCAGCCGCTCCTCATCAGACTTGTGCTCCAGGCCCCTCACCAGCTCGGTTGCCCTTCTCTGGACACACTCCAGCACCTCCATGTCTTCCCTGTAGCGATGGGCCCAAAACTGAACACAGGACTCGAGGTGTGGCCTCACCAGTGGCAAGTACAGGGTGACGATAGCTTCCCTGATCCTGCTGGCCACACTATTTCTGATACAAGCCAGGATGCCGTTGGCCTTCTTGGCCACCTGGGCACACTGCTGGCTCATACTCAGCCGCCTGTCGACCAACATTCACAGCTCCTTTTCCACCGGGCAGCTTTCCACCACTCTTCCCCAAGCCTGTAGTGCTGCATGGGGTTGCTGTGACCCAAGTGCAGGATCCGGCACTTGGCCTTGTAGAACCTCATACAACTGGCCTCAGACCATCGATCCAGCCTGTCCAGATCCCGCTCTAGAGCCTTCCTACCCACAAGCCCTCCAAAGGAGATATCCAGGCTTATTTTTCTGCCTTATTTTTTTTTAATGTAATGAATAATGAACAAGAAACTCAAGGAATATATAATTCAATTCTGTTCCTGATGCAAGAAGTTTTTTGTGTGTATGTGCCTAAAGAGAGCTGTGTTTCTAGATAAGGTTATTCTCTGCAAGCTGTGGGAATGGTTCAGAATAACAAACCATTGGTAATCCACTAGCTGTATCCAGCTACAGCTGGTTTTATATTTCCATTCATGTTACTCTAAATGTGATTATCCTAGGTAAAGAGCTACACAGTATAAGTATGGGTCAATTTTCTAAACTTGGCGCTTGCAAGTTTACTGTTTACCTCTTTTTCATGTTTCCAATTGTGGGCATGGGGTTCTTCTTTTAATAAAAATGCTAGCATAAATTCACTGTCATATTAAATGTGGTGAGAAACAGAGGAATTACAAAGTTAGAAGAGCAGATATTGCTTGGTTTTCAGCAAACTAGCTTTCAACAAACCCAGTCTGTAGAAAGAAATTAATCTTTTCTTTCCATTTTCTTTTATGCGCACTTAAGTGGATCTTGCACTTTAACTGCAAAACTATAAATTGCAACCTACAAATTGGTTACTTGCTTTCTATTTGTATTTTTCTGTGTTCATGACGATGATCAAACTAATGTTGATCTTGGCTTTTCATGGACTGGTGGCGCTGCAGCATGTTTTGAAGGATGTTTTCTGTTGTCTACTGATAAAAAGTTACAAAGATATTCATCTTCACTGAGGACCACTTATATCAGCCTTTGAAAACATTATACTGAGTGTATTTTGTACAGCTTGCCAGTAAGCTCACAAGGAATCCAGCTACAGAAGGTTAGGCTTCACATAGATGTGATATTTGCTGTAGATTACTTAGTGGAAAGAATATGACAGCGAAGATAAAAGCTATAAAACCCCCATGGTTTATACTTTCTAAAAAGAAAGTCTCAAGGTGGGCTGTGGTATATTTCAAGGACTGCAGACAGATACTCTGCTGAGGAGGTGCAGAATACTTACAGTCTCCAAGAGACCTTCTCTCTCCGGAGGAACGTGTCCTAGGAGCAAACACCAACAGATTGTGAACCATACAAATGCTGTGGCTAATTTTGTGCAAGTCAACACAGATTTTAGTATTTTAAGAGTGACATTTTGGAGAATGTGCTTTTCTCCTACTGGTTAAACAAAGTAGTATTTAAAGCAACTGGAAGGTGAAATGATCCCAATGGTCGGGCGAGTCCCCAGTGTGCAGAGTGGTGGTGGTCATTGTGTAATACTGGCCTTAGAGACTAAAGAGAGACAGATGTGATGATGCACAGATAATTTGCCAGCTTCTCCTGGGGAGTGGATTTTGCTCAGGACAAACAAACAACTAGACAAAATTGCTAGTTTAGCTTACACTAAAGAAGTAACAGAAAATTCAGTTTGGTTGTCTCTATACTTTGACCAGCTGAATGCTCATGGTTTAGAAATTCTTCAAAATGGGGAAGAATTATTTGAGAACTAATGTGTGCGAGAAAATGCTCTGATAAAACAAGAATTATCCCCGTTTGGGTATTTAGCATTTATGTATGCAAAGCAGGACTGGAATAACCCACAGTGATAATAGGGGCTGCAAAGCAGCCACACCCTCTCCTTTGTCCCATGATACAGAGCGCTTAATACATTGGGTGGTGCTGGTGGAAGACTACAGCCTCTGTAGAGCCTGTCAGTAAATCAATCCTGGTATCACAGATGTAAAAAATGACCATATAATGCACATTTATGTCTGTCTGGTAGCCATTCCCATGTCAGCGCGTTACTTCTTGGTCGGCCACTGTCTGATTTTTTTTCATGTTTATGGAAATCTATTTTGAAAAAATTCCACTGATTTTTCACTCAATTGTTGTGGTAGTTGGCTCTCTGAAGTGGTACACCACGAAAATCTCAGTGCTACACACCACTCTTGTCAGTTTTTACTCTGTGCTCCATACCAATATCTCCCATTTAGTTCTTTTGAGACTGAGCCACATTTGTATCACTTTCTTTACATCTTACCCTCTTCTTCCACCATGTTAAAAAGAGAGAGGGGTTCAGAGTGAAGAAGGAAGAATGTGAGGGAGGGGAATCTATTTCATTCTTAAGTGCAGCTTTGCAGCCTGCAGTGCTGCAAAATAAACAAACATATTTTTAGGGCACCACCTGCAGCACGCAGCTGTATGGAACTGAACAGAACTGCTAAGGGTGTGATTTGTTCTGCTTTGTGTGAAACCCTGGGGTCTGGGAAAACATGTGGGGAAGGTATTCTGTGGAACAACCCCCTCCTTTCCTGCCCTCCCCAATTCTTGGTGAATATCATAACTGAATCTGTAAAGGTGAGATCTTAGCTTCGCTGCACTTTGACAGCAACAGTAATTTATTTAATGCTCTGCCGATACATGGAGAAAAAAAAGCATAGTTTTGGCCACAGCTAATTCATTTGTTTTGTTGCCCAAAGCTAACCCTCAATGCAGCCTGTGCTCACATACTGGGCCAAATTCTCCACTCGACTCTTCTCTCCCAGGGAAGTCCCATTTACAGAGCTATGACATCCTGAGCACCTGGACCATCCAGTCTGCCCTGTAAGGACCACAATTCTGCCTGTCCTTGGTGCCTACATATTACCAAA